AGGATTTCCACAGTGTGCTAGAGGGGTGGGACTAAGGAAAGAGTTTTTTGTGGGTAAGAGATGGGAAGTCATCTTATAGGAGTGTATGAGAGAAAGAGGGAGAGATGTTGGCAGCACTTCTTAGGAGTCAAAAAAGGGAATATCTGATCAAAACAAGCGTAGCGTGGAGTTAACCACACATTTCAATGCTAAAGAGGCCCAGGGTGAATCAGAGACTGATTCCAGTCTCTGATAGTGGCCAGCACCAGATGCCATGGAGAAAGGCATGAGTATAATAGGCTATTAACTGCCCACTTAAGAAATTCTCCTAAAAACCTCACATGGCCAGAAAAGGCCCTAAAGTGTAGCACATACAGCCCTTGTGCATTTCCATTCCATGTGGTATAAATGAATATTCTCCTTATCTGTGAAAAATTCTCAATTTCTTTAGCAGCTGATCAAACATCAGAGCCAGTTTCCATCAAGAACCCCCCCAAATAAATCCGACCCAAGAAGCTTTGCACAACAGCGGCAGTGATCAAGAGAGTAGTGTTCTGCTGCTCTAAGCTCTTCCCTTGGTCTGATTCCCCGGTATAGCAGCTGATGTCGCAGGCTTTTCAAACCCTTTTTAATCATGTTATGAGCAACAAAAAACAGCCCATCAGCTTCTTCCTGGGGGTAGGAAAAGACCTCAGAGGGCGGGCACACCAAGGAATGAATAAGGCCTTTGTGTTTCCCTGTTTAGCATTAGGTTACCATGTCAACATCATCAGTGCAATTCAGGGAAGTTGAGAGGCTTTGCCCCATGCCTCTTTCTGCAGCCCCCCCAGGTTCTTGACCTCCAGTTTTCAATTCCTGTATATGCTATTGTGTGAACTGACAGCAATACGGCATCTCCTCCAAAAACTCTAGATCTGGGTCACCTTCCGGGCTGAAGTGCCTTTTGCAATGTATTTGCAAACAAACTTCTCCCAACACAAGTATTCAACAAGAGGCCGTATTTTTATTGAAGGCTTTGGCAACATGAGTGAGTCATTCAGCTGCCATCCTCATGAAAGCAAGGGAAGTGTCTAAAGGAGACTCATATATATGGCTATTTTTGCTGCCCTAAACAGTGCGAAAATACTCCCCCTTGTTTTACAAAGGGATCCAATATTTGTAGCCAAGATTTAAGGACAGTACTCTTGGGGCAGAGGGAGGGGGTCCAACTAGCAGTGCTTTAAATATATTCAAATTCCAGTAACTGCTCAGTACTCCTTTCCACAAAAATCAGGACCCTTTAAGGCATCTCAAATGGGGTTCACAGTATCACCAGTCAGCTAGGAAAACAGCTGCTAAGCCTATGTAGATCTCAAATGGTTTGCTCTGATCTAACTAGAACTGGCCAATAGGCAGGAGAGCAAGTAGATTTGGTCACACAGTCAAGTTGAAAGGTTGCAGTTCTTGTGGGGGGCGAGTGCTTCTTGCTAACAGGTTTTCTAACCTCCTACTTCAAGTATCTGAACCTTTGCAGGCCCAGAAACACCAATCCCGTGCCAACAGGGAACACATTTTACCTTTAGATCTGTGTTGAGTATCCACAAGAAGGTGCACACTCTTGGATTGCTGGGACATTTCAGAACAATGAAGCCTCCTGGACCATTCTCACCTCTGGGAAAAGCAACAGTGCAAAAATTGAGGCTGCAGAGTATTGGAGCCAGCAAGATTTTCTAGGCCTCAAAATCCCCAGCTCTCAAATAGACTGAGGCAGCTATAAAGGCTCAAGTTAAATGTCAATTACTTTAATCAGATTATCAGGAAAAACAAAGTCAGTGAGAGAAGCAGCGCAGCTGGTCACTAGGCTCCGGAGGCTCAGACTCTGACAGTAACAGAGAGTCCTTGCTTGGAGAGATTCAAACACAGCTTAACTCATCATGAGATGGGCAGCCACTTAGGTTTGGCATGAGGAAGTGACAGCAAGTGCTCTGGAAAAGGCTCCATCTTGCAGCAGTTCCTCATCACCCTGGGTATTTCACAGTAATAAACAGTTGCATGACAAGGGCCCATGAAACGTTTGAAAGACATTCAGCTGCTTATTCCCCGCACGTGTTACGACTGTCTTTGTGCACCAGCCAATTCCATAACAGGATGTGGAACTGGTCAGGATTTAAGACCTGCTGGTTCTCCCCACGTTCCACTGAAGTACCCATCACCCCCTTGGTTTAAGCCATGTGGTTCTGCACAAAGTGCTCTTTACACAGAAAAAGAAAAGGGACAGTGGAAGTGGTCTTAGTTCTGCCAATAAAATGACTTCCAGAATGTTCAGGTTTGCCCTAGGGGTAACACCACCCACAAGCAGGAGCACGCTTGTTATGGGCATGGAAATCTCATCTGATAAAAAGTATACTGAGCTCTTACCTGACATATTTGAGCAGTGGAGGCTTCAAACTGTGAGTGGTAGATATCCCTGAGGAAACATATCTGTCTCTTCTTCTCTCAATCCGACGCACATTTACAAAGTCCCTAGGCAAACAGACAGACTGGTACGTGCTCAGGAATTTAGTGGGAATTTTACACTAGGTAGACTTGAAAAGGCCAACATGCTAAACTAATATTTCTTTTTTAGAGTCAAAGCCCCCCTCACAAAATGCTCGCTCTTAGCTTTTACTCATTTCTCAACTACAGAAACATAATGGAGTAGTTCTTCTGCTCTAGAAGATTAGAACTCAGAAGGCCCAGACCAGGGCAAAATGGTTTTGACACTATGGATTCCTATTTGAAATCTCCAGGTTTATCTTGCAAATCTTGTGTAGCTGTTTGCACGCTTAATGGTGCAAATATTGCACAGTATCCCATGGCATCTTTAAAAGGATCTCATGGCACCCCACAGTACCACAGCACCTTGGCTGAGAAGCACTTTTCTAAACCGCTGGGACAAGGTGTAACGAAAAAAAAATCTTAGCTGCAGACACAGTGAGCCAGATCACAGGTACTAGGACTTAGGCACCAAGTATGATCCTCGTCCTGCTCGAGACACCAGAGGAAAAAAAGCCATCAGTGCACCTACCTTTGTAACACACCTTCAATCTTACCTTTAAAGTCACAAAAAGCACCAAGCAGGAGGAGGGCTAATCACCTTCTGCATTAGAGGTTTTCCAGGGCCTCCATCATAGTGGAACAGGATTTGCCCCTGTGCGACTCATGATTGCTTAGTGACTAAGAGAGACACTGGGTGCCAGGATCCTAGGGGGTCTATTCTGTGCAGGGCTAGCTAGTTGGCAGGGGTTTCTTATATCCTGTACATAGCACCTTGGACATTATCCATATACGGGGCAGCTCATATGTGCCCTCTTTGACACTATGCTTTTGTACTTCACACCTCAGGAAAAATCAATGGGAGGCAGATTGGCCTAGAGCAAGAGGTTCATGGGCTTGATCCAGTAATGTACTGGAACAGAATAAACTCACCTGGGTGACACTACACCACCTGCAGCCCCAGCAGCAACATCATATGAGATAATAGTGCTGTCTTCAATCCGCTGTAAGATCTGAAAGAAAAAGATAACAGGAGAGGCTCCCTTTAAATGTGCCTGTGGATTCACACACGAGCAATCGGGAAGGAAGTGCTTGTGGGTCCTGAATAAGCCTTTAACAGCAGAACAAGAAGCCACTGAGGTTTTCCAGAGATACGCCTTTGAGGACTCAGCATCAATGATATAATTCAGATCAACAGGCCCATCTTGCAGGTGATGAGTGGGTTGCTCTGGACAACAAGCAGGTGTCTCTTTTGGATCCCAAACATGGCAGTCACCCGAAATGCTGAAAGCTCCAATGAGCCATGGGAGGGAGAACAAGTTGGGCTCTACCAGCCATGTGTCTCACTGGCTTGGCCCTGGGCTTCTGGATAGATCTGCTGGCTCAGCTGGCTAGTTCCAGAGCATTCAGATTGCCTGGTTGAGCCCTGATGACTTAAAGCCTCACTGTTTCAAATCCAAGCCTGGCACTGAATGCAGGAGGCTCTGTGCTGAGGAGTTCCAGCTCCCAGATTGCAGGGGTAATTAAAAAGCCATCTTCACCAAGCACTCACCTGGCAAGCTGCCACTGTTCTATTCCACAGGATCATCTTCTCAGGTTGGAGAATAACTTCCTGGTAGACTGTTTCAGCA